TGTTAAGGTTGTGATTGAATATGGACTGGTTTGGTTGTGCCAAAATGAAACCTGTAAAAAGATAAGCAATTAAAAGCTTATACCTAAGGGTTTTAAGATAAAAGCTTATATTTTATTGCCTATCCATATTAGCTGTAGACACAATCAGAAGAGTGAGGAAGGCAAAGTTTTAAGATGTATGGTGCTGATGAAACTGGAGGTTACCTAAATACTTGTTATTAATCATATATAGGAAGTAAATTCATTGAATCTGTAACTTGTGCCTAGCAGCTGGATTTTCATATCTCCTTCATTTTTAGGGACAGTAGGAACTAGAGATGTTTTATGCAGCCACACACCGTGCCATGCAAATAGAGAGCACAAAGTTAAAGAATGTACTCCTAAGTTGATGCATTTGTCTTTCAGAGTAACAGGACAGCAGAACTCCTAACATTTCTTTCTAGGAAATGTGTATTTTCTAATATATGGGTGGTCTTCCCTTACTAGAAGCAAAGAGCAATGCCACTTGTATTTTGTTGTGTCACTGAAGCCATCCTAGTGTTATTATGACGTGCTACCATAAAAAAATAACTAACTAGTCTACATAAAGGACATCTCACCACAGCTCAGGGTTATCAGGATGTTTTTTTCCATTTTTGGAATAAAACTGAAAGCAATTTTATTTATTCTATCTTTGCACTCTTCCCATGTTGTATTTGATATTTGACTTAGGCCTAGACTGTTCCACAGCCCATAGCAAACAAAACTGAATGCACGTTGGACATGTACAGACCTTGCCAAAGGCATAAATTGTACTAAATGAGCCATATTCAATTTCTAATACTCCCAGGCTCCTATGGGTGGAGTCCTGTGTTGTTGAAACGATAAAATTCTTGGGTATCATCTTGATGATACAAAATTATCCATTTGACTGAAATGTATTTGGTGTCTTGGTTTTATTGCACCACTTTTTACTGCTTTTCAGACTGATCAGTTCATTTGAGTTTCCTAAACTTTTTATGTATCCAGCCACATGCTGTACATTTTCACTCACCTATTTGTGCCTTACTTTCATTTACCTTATCTTGCATTTTAAAGGTTTCACCATTTTTAGTGAGACTAGATGGCACTGTGGTTTTGATGGGGTAAGGGAAAGTCCCTTTTGCTTTGCTTGGTAAAATAAGTAAGAGACCAGTGTCTGTACTTCCTTCTTGAAGAAAAAGACTTGTTTGTTCATTGTTTAGAGATCTTCCCTATTTTGACTTCCAGGTCTATCTCAATCTCATCTTCCTCTCCTCCTGCAGTTAATTACCAATCCTGGGTTGTTTCCAACCTTTCCTCTTTTCCAACCTTTCCTTTCCTCTTTGGGGAGTTGTGTTCATTAATAAAAAACTCAAACCACGTAAGTCTTCCACCTAGATTACATACGTTTTTTTCCTTACTTCTCTCAGCATCTTTCTTTCCAGCCTTTTACACTGCCCCCTGCTTTCTTTAAACTCCTCTACCCCCATGCATCCTGTCTACGAGCTGTTGAATTGCTCAGACTGAGCCCCTACAGTCTTCATTCTGGCTGTTCACACTGTCTCATATGAGGTCTCTGTCCATAGCCCCATGTTCCCATCAGACTTTCAGTCTTGATTTTCTCCTCCTGAGTGTTGTCCTGTGTGTCAGAGATGCAGCTCAACCCTCTCTCTCTGAACCATCAGTGTGCCTGGTGCTGCGTTCTCGAGAGCAGCAGAACAACTATTTAAATATTTTCAAATGTAGGGATGCAACCTAATATTTAAAGCTATTGTCCTCTTGTTAACACAGAGTAGTGGTCTGATGGGATAATCTCCCAAGAGGAAAAATGCATAAAACGTATTAACTGAGCTTCCAGAACATGTAAAAGAAGAATAGAGACTTCAATGCTTTCGTTGAGTGCGAAACAAAGATATCCTGAAGCTGGTGCTGACTCCAGCTGATAAGTCCATCCACATGATGCTATATTTAGATCTGAGCTAAGCATGTGAGGGACCAGCTCTGGAACCCCTGCACTTCTGCACGGTTATTCCACAGCTGGATAAGAGGCGGTTGCATTAGATTCGGTAACCTGTTGATCAGTGAGCAGATCTAGCAATCTGGTGTGGGTATCTCATGCTTTTTGGGACCATTTCCAACCAAGTTCTCAGGGCCTTTGGGGTTTGAACTCAAACAGGCAAGTCATGACTGCCGTGTTGTTTGGAAGAATTGTGTGGTCAGTGCTTGAAAGAATGATATAAGAGAAGGCTTATTAAATTTTCATTCATCTGATTAGTTCCTGCTGATCTTGTAGAGCAAATATATACTAGAAATAGGCACTTGGTAGTAATTGTGCTTGTACCAAAACAGTAACTAATATGTATAACATACAAGTATCGAAAGAAAATCTTTTTCATAATTAAGTTTCACCAAAAAAAAATAAAAAACATTCAAAACTAACATTTGTTAACGCCTCTGAAGGTATGTCAAGTGCTCACACACAGTTCTGCCTTTACTCATGTATTTCCCTTGTGTCTTGAATTGAATGCATTTGTCACAGATTAAATAACAAAAGCTTTGGCTCAGGTGGTGATTAGGAGCATAACATTGTTCTAATATTAACTTCACCTTTATCCAAAAAAACTTGGACTACTAAGTATGGAAAGAAAACCTAATGTAACTTCTGCTTTATCAGCTAAGAGAAGAGAAAATTGTGTAAGTACATTATGCACATCCTAAATCTTGAATATTCTGGATAAAATACTTTTAGAAAATGTAACATTAATGAAAACACGAACAGGGAAAATTTTTAAATAAAAATTTTTAAATAAAATGTGAAATTCTGCTAAATTTATTGTTTTAATAGCTTTGGATTTCCTTTTGTAAAACATGTTTTAAATTCAGATATGTCTTCAGTTTGTTAGATGAGTAATTAAGGCATTTCCATGATAATATTGCCTCAGGTGATTTCAGAGTTAACCTGAAAGCATTTAGGTGGTGACTGAAACATTTAAAATTTTCGTAGAGAATTTCAGCAGCAAGTATTAAGACTTTATAGTTAACATTTAATATCTCTGTGATGCTCTATGATTTGAAGAAGTAACTTTGTGCTTTAAAAATTTGTTAAAATATCATCTTTCCACGATTTGATAGAGTTATTTTAATTATTGTCTCTCAGTAGTGTTATTTCCATAAATATAATTTGTAATAGCAAATATATTTTAAGTAACATAGTACCTTAAATATGAGATCAGTGGTTAGTTACTGGGTTTTGCTTCCAGTTGTAAAAAAAACAAGAGAAAAAAACATCATCTTAGTTCCTTCACTCTGAATCTGGAGTAATTGTCTGACAGCTCCTATGCAATATTTGTTTATCTGATTAGATCTTGTACATGGTAAAGAAAGTTCATCATTTATTGCTGCTTTTCCTTCCCTATTTTGCATATCCCTGTTAAGCCCTTAATTCAGTATATTTAGAGATATTTGTCTCATTGTTAATGGATTTGTTCATGCTGATTTGAATTGTTGACAAGATTTAAAAAAAAGCACTTTTTAACAAGTTATTTTGCACATACAATGTGGTATTAAAAAAAAATCTCAGCAAGGTATACCTTTTGCGCTTTCTAAATGAGTTAGCAGTGCTTGTATGTGATGAGGAGGTAGTATGTTTATAAAACAACCTTTTAGGGCTGATTGTGACAGTAAATGAAAAATTACTTCCCTGGTTCTGTGTGGGTTTTTTTCCCCAGAAGCAGTGGAAACAAATCAGCAGCTAATTGCTGAGCACTGACAGGCTTCAGTCAAGGGGGGGCATCGTAGGTCTTTCACAAATAGACAATAACAAGTAAATCCGTTTGACCGTAAACTTAAGTGGCTGTGATACAGTAAATTACTTGCTCTATTTATCTTAATTTGGGGACTCTCCACCTCTAAGGTGCGTCAACAGCTTGTTTGTTGTGTGTATATGCTTTTAATTATATTACATTTAAAAAAACAAGTGATCTGAGTTCTTTCACTACAGTTCAGATTTAGGATTTGTGTCAGTCACATTCTGTCTTTTTGATTAGCCCTAAGAAGTTTTTGAAGTGATAATATTTTTCCAGAGAAATAAGTGTGTGTGAGAGTCTTGAAAACATCAGCTGAAGTCAGTAAGTTCTCTGCTGAATTTGTGGAACAGTGGATGGTCTGACAAACACCAGATGCCTGAAATATTCTGTTTTAATTCTTGGCTTATGCCCACAAAAAATGTTACTAAGAGGGTCAAAATAACCTGTTTTTAAATGGTTGTTGGTAGCTAATGATTCTTGTTAAAAACCACCCTCTGATAAGAATTTACATCTGAAATTCCTTTTCGACTTAGAAAAGCTAAAACCCAGGAGAGGAAACTCTTTGTGTATGGTTGGAAGTGGCTGTTTAGAAACACCATGCCATAATTACCTTTGTGCAATCTCACACTTACATAGAAAGAGAGCCCAAAACTGCACACGGGAACCTGTTGGAGAGCGATACACCGGTCTTGTGTCGCGACTTTGATCCCCCCCCCCGATGCAATGATGGATTGCAGCTCGTGACAAACTCTGCCCCAGCTCTGCCTGGCCCTTTGATCCAGTCCCAGTGTTATCTTCATTAAAAAGTGAAAGGGCTTGTGGGGATGCTTTTCCATTTTGGGAAATGTTTTCAAAGCTGAGTGTCACGGACTGTACGGGACTGTGCCGTAAGTGTTTCAGCACGGTATTTCCACTGGTACGATTCTTGGCCTCTTCTCCTGTGTAGATCTGGAATCCTGTATATCTGCATCCTTTGGAGACAAGTGCCTAGGGCAACAACTGTAGATAATAACTCACGATTTGTGTCTTTTGCAAGTTACAGTCATTGTAAACTGACAGCTGTGAAGGACCTAAACTCACATCAAAGGATACAGATCATCTGGTTAGGTCAATTAATGTTAATTCTCATCTTCCATTAAATTCTTTTATCGTCTTCTCTCTTTTTCTTTTCTTTTCTTTTTTTTTTTTCTCCAGCCAAGCCCGATACCAAGTCCTGTTTTGGGGAGAAAGCCAAACGCTAGTCAGTCATTGCTCGTGTGGTGCAAGGAAGTTACAAAAAACTATAGGGGAGTGAAAATCACCAACTTTACTACGTCGTGGAGGAATGGTTTATCCTTTTGTGCAATATTACATCACTTTAGACCAGACCTAATGTAAGTTGTATACTCTTTGCCTGCACAGCCTAACTCTCATAGAAATACAGAACAGTTAAGTTTATGTAAAAATCAAATTGTGTTCATTTCAGATGTTGAATTCTTTTCACCCTTTCCTTTCAAGCAGGGAACCATCCTTTCTAAGAAACCAGATTTATGAATGTTCAAACTTTGTGACCTCTGTGCTCTCCCTTGTTGCATAAACAATTATTTCTCCCCTCTCTGTGATTTGTTTTTCTTCTTCTTAATCTTATACAAAGAACTGACTTCAGGATGATTATGAGAATTGCGCCGGTGTTGAAATGAGATGAGAGGAATAAGCTCTTTGTACGCTGACAAGGACGGATTACCTCCTGGTAAATTTGGTTGTCAAGGCCGGCCTCTAGTCCCTGCCTTAACTTCTTTTTTAGATGGAAAGCTTCAGGCAATGAAACATGTAATCGGTGTTTATTTATTTATTTATTTATTCCTTTAATTTTCCACACTATTAGTTTTGTTGATTGAATTGCTGTGAAATTGCTAGTTACTATATGATATTATTGTATGTCAAATTTTTAGATTTAGTTTGTTTTAAAACTGCTGCTTTTATCAAATACTGTACATACCCACTGTGCCATTTTCCCCCTCAGTGACTACAAGTCCCTGAATCCTCAAGATATTAAAGAGAACAACAAAAAGGTAAGAACTGCCAAAAAAAAAAAAAAAAAAAAAAAGACATAGCCTCAGTTTTGACTTCACTGCAGGTTTTTATTAATTTTGGGAAATGCAGTTGTTTTGTAAGGTCATAACTGCAGCTCACAGAAGGTATTCGGCCTCCCGTGGTTCAAATCGGATGCTTTATTGACTCGAGTTTGTCATGGTTTTAACATTCACAACAAGTTCAAGGCCGGCATTAGAGTTTAATGTTTGTGCGGCCTACATTAACTGTGAAAGCAGGGGAAAGGCCTGGCCAGCCTTCTGTGAGCGCTCATGATTTTTCCTGTCAGCTGCGTAATTAAAAACAAATTTAGAAACACGTACCTGTGATTGGACTGTTGTACACGAGGCTTCTCTTGCTGTTGCTTTACCAGGGCTCTGGGAATTGGGCACGGTTGATGTTGCTTGGTGATTTTTATGTTTTTAAAGATGAAATATTACACCTACTCTCATGCATGCTGCACCATGAGTGAAGGGTAAAAATGTTGAGACAATACTTTGCAAATAAAGTGAAATATTAGGAAAATACTTTATAGCCTTGTGCTGGGCAGCTGTTTTAAACCACTCGTTGTGGGTGCAAAGATCTAAAAAGTTTCTCTGGAAGAAGCAGGAATTCAGTTTGGGAATCACCAGAAGACTTTTTATTTCTGCTCACTATTTTAGGCATGCTACAAACTTCAGTTGGGCCCTAGGGACATGTTTAGAAATTAAAATTTTCATGTGAGTCACTGATAATGAAATTGTTCCTTAAGATGATCTGAAAATTGTTTTTAAGTATCTGCCTTCTTAATGCTGGGATTTTGTTTTTCTATTGCTTTAAAAAGCACTAAATTTAACAAGGATTAAGGTATAAAAATATACTTTGAATAAATTAATCAGGTTCAATGTAGTAAACATATCTACAGTCTAATATGATTTAGTTATGTGGAATTTCTGAAAATGCTTTATTAAAATTCATTTGTGTTTGTATTTTAATGTGTCTACACATTTATGTGTTAGCCAGGGAGTTACTTGTCTTTAATTTAGTACTTATGTATTATAAATAATGAAATATCTCTAAGCTGCTGCTATATAATGAGTCTTTTGGCTGTTGATTTTTTTTTTTCATAATAATATGAGGACTTAAGATGACCTAATGTGACATCACATTATTTTCTGTGACCATATGTTTTTGTACTTCAAGTTTTGTTGAGCATCTGGGCTAATTAAGCCGGATTATAAAAAAGAAAGAATAGATTATTAATTAAAAACGTTAGCAGTATGATCAGTCATCTTTTCTTTATGAAACTGTGATGGCAAACAGTGAACTTTTCAGCCTCTCTTTCTAACAGGATATAGTTCCCAGAATTGAAGAAATAATGATTGTTGTTATTGTGCAGTTTTTTTCTTTCATCACTTTGGCAGCCTTTGCCTGACAGCCACACTGAGTATCTCAGTTGCTTCCTGCAGATTTATTTCCTGGTCTCACACAGTTCTGCCAGATAACCCCGTGTGCCCTTGGTTGGAGTGAATGCAACACTGCCAACAATGGCTGCCTAGAAATTCCGTGCAGATATGTAACACATTTGACAATGATTCCTCCTAACCAATTAAAATAACATCTTTGGATGAATAGGATGATTTTCTTTGTCTGAAGCAGCTCTTTTTTTTTTTTTTTAAATGTTTCTTTCCCTGCTGCTCCCTCTCCAGAAGGAAAACCATAGATTAAAGGTTAACCCGTAAAAGTATATCTTTTAGAAGTGCATGACCTTGTTTGTATTTTAATTTTAAAAAACGAAGATATCTTAAGAGACAACTATTTCAGTGCAAATACAGAGTATAATTACACATGGAAATGCACTGTTACAAAAGGCACATCATCAGAGATTCTTTATAACACACACCAACCACTTGCCAGTTTGGTGCTGCCACTGATGCTGAATAAAAAAGGGTATTTACCTGTGACATCTGATCTTGGCCAATATGTCAGTGTGTTACAGAGTTGGGAAATGATTGGAATACTGCCTGTTGTGCCTGTGCTGATGGATCCCAATTGATGTCTGTCAATCAGCTTGTCAGTAAATTAGAAAAAAAAAGAAAAAAACTTCATTGGGAGATAGGTAAATGGGCTTAGTGTCCTGAATAGACATACATAAAAAAATCCCAAACAGCTACTACATTGGCATCAATCCTAATTGGAAGATATTTTTGGTGCACGTTGCAAATTCAAATTTCTGTCAGGAACAAAAGAGAAACCAGGATTATCTCTGAGAAAATCAGAAACATTACAGAGATACTTTCCCTGATGGTCCAAGGAGTTGTGCTTCTACTTAAATCTCAGATATCCATGTAGCCTTCCCAGTAACATAAACCAGCTAATTTGATTTAATATGTCCATTTGATTATTATTAAATAATAATGAAATTAAAAATAATGGGAAATGTATTAAAATTAAGCATACTGGCAGTATAGTCCCCTATCAAAAATAGAATTTTTTCATATTGCTAATAACATGTCCTGCACTTTAAAAATTTAAGCTACTAAACAACACTTGGCTGGAGCTTTGAGGGGATGAAGGGATGAGAAGTAGGAGGGCACAACAGTATGATTCTAATAATGAATTTCTGGTTTTAATTATTGTTTGGAGAAGCTTGTTTCAAGAGATTATTGTGTGGGAATAGTAATGTATATTTTGGATGTTCGATTGGCACTTTCAATTTTTATGGTGCCTTTTTCCCCCCAGTTTTTGGCCATTTCTAATAAATTCCTCAATACATTTGAACTTAAATTATTGTCGTAATAAAATATTCAATTTTTAAAAGGAATACTTTTAAATTATACATTTAAACAGAAGAATTCAGAATTACAGGGATACTATTGAGTCAAATGGAAAAAATTCCTTACCTTTAATCTGGAGTCATGCTTTTATAACAGGTGTTCATACTTCTAGGGTTTGATTCCACAAAATCATAAGCACATATCTAATTGCATGTGGTTGAGGTGCTTGTTGGCCTCAGTGAGATCATGAAGGAGCAGAGTTAAACATGCAGATAAATAAGCATTTGCAAAATCAAGGCTGAGTTATGCCTCTGTTTAACAAAAAGAATTTGACTCGGGAAATTTACTCTGTTAATACCATGTTACAAAGTAGTTAGAAACACGAGGCGTTTATACCTATGCTGGAATATCAAGAAGCTCCCAGCTTTTCTAGTAGTGAAGGAGAACCCATCACAAACAGTTGTATGGACATGTCCAGAACACACAATTGCTATTTCTAGAGCTAATGTCTGTAAAACACTGGCCTGCCAACCTACTTAGCTACTGTACTTTAAAAGGAGAGAAGCAAAAATGTGTATCATCCAGAATGGGAAATGAGAGGAGATAGGAAATAACTATCTGGCATCAGCGGGAAATAACTGTGTTTAATCCCAAGCATCACTGGAAGAACTGAGCAGGCAGCAAAAAGTGATTGAATCTTTTGCTGCAATATTTGCAGCAAAATATCAATATGGATATTGAGAATATCCATCACTCCAAGTTCAGTCCTGCAGTAGTGTTACTTCTTAGCAAGTACCTTTCCTGACAACCCTGAAACACTGTCCCCACCTTCGTTTTATTGACCCTGAGAGATACTCATAGGATTTAGTTTTATTAGCATATAACTAAGAAATTAAGAGTATAAAAAGAGTTCAGGTAAAATGACATCTCTGGGCTCTGGCTGCCCTGGACTGCCGTGCCTGTCCTTAGGTCCTTTCATTCTTAAGATGGTAGCTCCCACTACCTGCAGTGTGGGGTGACAAGTTATTTATGCCACTGAATCAGCAATGACCCACTTAAGCAAACAACAAATCCTGGTGTTACCTTTAGTCCACAGACAGCACAGCTGGCTTGCTGTTCTTTCGTGCCCAGCCTGTTTTCTGCTGTCATATGAGCATTCATCATTCCTGGTACCTGCCATGGCTTAGGCTGCCAACCCAAATCCATGCCCTGCTCTCCTTTATCTTGGCATTCTCTGTGCTCCTCATGTCTATTCAGTTCCACCTGTCTTGTCTCCCTCTCCTCCATAACCAGCCTGGTCCTGCTCCTCCAGCTCTGTTTCCCAAGCCCAGGTAAGTGGCAGCTGTCCCTCTTCTACCATCCAAGTTCTTTCCATTCCCTCCCACCTATCGCTTTGCTGCTGTTCTGCTCCGTCTGGAGTTCGTTATCAGCAAATACATGTCATGTTTGCTGCTCCTATATCTAAGCACAGCTCTGTGTTTATAAATGGCATAAAAATCTCTCATAATAAACCTTCACAAGAAATGATACCACACTGAAGACCAGCATTGATTTTAGGCCAAATCGTTTTGCATGGAGAGAGCCAGAAGACCTTAAAAATAAATTATTCAGACCATTTCTATGTGTAGATAACTTCTGTGAATCATTTATTGTAGTGATACAAAAACTGCTTCACCTAAAATGCTTTGGCAAGTTATACCTGAGCATGAGGGGAAGCATGCAGAATTTCAGGAAGATAAATTCCAGCTTTTGGTAGCAGAGTTTGAAAAGTGTCTGAAACAAAAACTGTTCGACCCTTGCACAGGGAATGACATTGCAAGGGGAAGGAGAGAGCCTCCTTTTCTCAGAGCAAGCAAAATAACTGGGTCTGCTGAGACCTGGCCAGCCCATCCCCACATTCTCTCTCACCACTGAACATTTACTATTATGAAAGCCAAGAGGATAAAAAAAATCATAATTGATTTATCTTTTTTTTTTAAATATCCTTCTAAAACTAAAGAAATTAAGGAAAAAGTGTAAAACTGGAGTTGAGTTGAAGCCAGTCATATGTGTTATTGTTTCTTTGTAAGAGGACAGTTTTCTCATCCATGTCTTAAATTTAGCATCTGCTTTTATTCAAAATAGGGTAGGAACAACTGTGAACATTGTAAGCCCCTTCAGAAGATGGTGAAAAGGAGCTGCAGGATTCCTGGGGGAGGAGAAGCCCACATGCTTTAACCGAGTGCATCTATGCTAACAGGAGGCCTTTTAAAGGCTTCCTTGAAACACAATATTGTCTTCCAAGGTTAATCCAGGATAGTAATAATTAATTGTAAATTGAGAAACGGCCTTAATTCTTCAAAACTAGAAAAACCTGATGCACCAAGCCCACTCACTTAAAGGGCCAGCTGTAAGAAGACAATGTGGCCTCACAAAGTGGGAGGCTTGCAACTGTTTAGCTTTTAGAAATGAAAGTGAAATGGGAATGATTTTCACTGTCTCTTTCTTACAAATTTATAATCAACAACGTTTTTAAAATGCATTTGTTTGATGGATTAATGTGATTTATGCGTAGTGTCAAGTAATCTCTGGTGTTCTTTTTGGCTGTCTGGACATAGTTTTTCATCAACAGAAATCACTGCAATTACATAACAAGTAGAAGGCAGAAGGTTGATCATCAGTGATAAAGCTCAAGATGGATTAGTGTTGTGTTTCTTATATCTTTGTTCCTTATCTTAAAAAGCCATCCTGAGTTGCTTTTTTTTTTTTCTGGTCCAACTCTTAGACTTTTTTTGTTTGCTTGTTTCCTGCTACTTGAGTGAGAACCATTTAAGATATTGGCAGGTTTTCTTAGTGCAAAAAAAAGGGCTTTTAAGTTGCAGTTTCACAAATAGCTATTTTCTCATAGAAGTGTAATAATTTTGAGTAACCAAAGATTTTAGTATTGTATGGTATCAAAATGTGTTAAAAATATATTTTAAAATGCCACTTGAATGTCTTTGCTGGTTATATTCTCTCAGTTTTCTTTGCTGTGAAGATTTATAGAAGATATATAGAAACCATCAGGAAAAATCGATGAGTTGGATGGTGCAACAGAAAATAGTAACGATTCTAATGAAGCCAGAAGAATAATAAGTAATAGAACTGAAGCCGTGTTCTACCTGTAATACCGAATGTGTTTTAGGCTTGCTTATTTTGGCTGAAACTTCCACTTGCATTCTTGAAATGTTATGATATGTAAGAAACTGCCACACTGTAACATTTATTTTGTCTGTTTTTAAAGGCATACGACGGGTTTGCCAGTTTAGGAATATCACGATTGCTGGAACCTTCTGACATGGTTTTGTTGGCGATACCCGACAAACTGACTGTTATGACCTATCTCTATCAGATAAGGGCCCATTTCTGTGGCCAGGAATTGAACGTGGTTCAGATAGAGGAGAACAGTAGTAAAAGCACATACAAAGTGGGTAACTATGAAACGGACACAAACAGTTCTGTCGACCAGGAAAAGTTCTACGCAGAGCTGAATGACCTGAACCGGGAGCCCGAACTGCAGCCGCCGGACGGTGGCTTGGCAGACTTTGCTTCTCAGGATGACTCCGTGTTTGTAAATGACAGTGGTGTTGGAGAATCTGAGAGCGAGCATCAGACTCCTGATGACCATTTAAGCCCGAGCACAGCTTCCCCTTCTTCTCGCAGGACTCGAAGTGACACAGATCCACAGAAATCCCAGCAGAGCTCTGGAAGGACTTCTGCGTCTGAAGAAATTGGGAAGTGTAGCAGTACAGACACAACACAAGTGCAGCCTACATTGGGAAGGAAAAAATTGCTGATAACTGACACTTTAGAATTCAGTGACTTAGCACATGTCAGTGATCAAAAAGAGGATACGTCTCCCACAGTTGCTTGTGAAGATAACAACAAGAAGAGACACCAGAGTTTAGACAGTACTACTGGTTTCTCAGAACAAGAAAAGCTGGGATGTATTGGATCCACAGAGAGCACAAGAGCAGATCCTGGTTCACCTGTCACAAAACCGAGTTTATCTCCGACTTCTAAGCCTGGATACTCCTATAATATGGATACAGATCTTACAAAGAAACCACATGCTTCTCCAAGGCAAACAGAATCTGATTCTGACAGTGATGCCAGAACAGCTTTAAGTCATGCAGATCAAACTGCAAAAACAGCCCAGGTAAGAAACTTATGCCTGTGAGTTAGGATGGAGATGCCGTTCAAGTTGTTTCTCTGCGTTCATAATTTACACCTTATCTTCAGTATGAATGGTGAGGTGAGCAGTGTATTTTTATTGTTGGGCAGTAAGTATTTTGCCTAAAAAGTAGGTGGTGCTGAAAAACAATCATCACATGAAAAAATAATTTATACAAATTGTCCCACTATTAATCTTTCCAGTCTCTCTGCAATTAAAGGGAGTTGTGTTCTTGACTATCTGGAAGATGGCTCCAGAACTTTTGCCGCTGACTGTGGCAACACGTTTCTTCTAAGTGTTGCATACTGAAGCAAAAACCGGAAAAAGACATTAGTTCAATAAAAAATGTCAAATTTTGAGTACCTTAAAATTTACCAAAGATATTTCAAAATCTTGTTTGAGAAACCACACAGCCTTGTGACCATAGCCACAGTGGTGAGGTAGAAACTCCAGACTATTAAATTGTGCTGTCCACTGAGTGGCCTAAAGCATGTTACTTCACCACAGTATCATTTTCCTTTCTATGAAGATAAAAATATATGCCCACCTACCTTGCAGATTTATTGTGAGGGTGAAAGTTGAATATTACATACATATACTGAGTGTTATCAATAAATCATATAATCACAAAAATATGTAAAACATGTTATCAACTCTTATCTACAAAAATACCAAAGCAGGCCTATAATTTTACCTCTGTGAAGAGCTTTATTGACTTTTGGCTTGGTTTGGCTTTGTGCCAATCTTTTGGTAGTGTGATTGCTTCAAATATTTTTATGGTTTTGTTCTGAGTAAGCGCCATAAAGATTCATTGTATCGCAAGAGAAACAGTCCATAGATGGGTACTAATAGCCAAATATTAGTTCCATAGCTAGCTAATTTCTTTAATCAGTGAAGTCTCATGAAGTTTCTCTTCGTCGTCATCATCATCATCATCATCTTTGTTTACTGGATGAGAAAGGAACAGCTTGGCCCATATAGAATAAAAAAGCAGGAGGCAAAATTTCTTCTCTGTGAAGATTTTCATGGGCAAGGGTGTAACAGGCCAAGAAAAAGCAAGAGTTGACTTCAAAGGAAGCTCTTTGTTGTTAATCATTGGTGCATTTGCACATGGTAATAAAATATCAGATGTGAGGCTCACTCTTAACCTTGAACTCAGTTGTAGTTTGGAGTCAACCCACGTGGTTGTTGCAGAAGCACAACAAGCAACACCTGTCCCAGCTCTGGCTCCTGTAAAGGCCTAGAGATGCATTTTCCCAGTCTTCACAGTTGACCTTGACTAAGAAGTCAGCCCTTGGGAGTGTATATGTCTGGGAGCTGCTCGTGTTCTCATGTTGCCAATGCAGAACCGCCTTTTGTTGTTTCTACTCTGCAGATACAGTCAACCCTGTGTATGAAGAAGAGACATTCTTCTAGATATTCATAAATTAAGTAGAAGCAGATATATTTGCAGGTTTTTTTGCCTTGTACCCAGCCTCTTTGTGTTCTGTTTAAGTTGTGAATGAGTGATACCCATATAAGTAGCCAACAAAGCATTGTATTTGCATACATATTAAAGTAAACAAGTAAACACATAGCATGTTTGACATAGCTTCTATGAAGCCAACTGGTTTTGTTTCACAGTTGCAGTTTAAAGGCATTAAATGCTGATAGAAATTAAGTTTTAAGGGGAAGGGAGAGAACTCCTATTTACATTATAAAGGCCTAAGACTTTTTTTATGTTTTGATCATCTTTTCATTTCTATAGAACGCTCTGTCACCTCATGAAGATGTAATTCATGTGACTCCTGACCTTTATAGTATACATAGGAAGGCCACTGGCTATTAACTAGTGTGTAAACGTTCAGTACCCTGAGGCTGCCTTGCTGTTAATTATATTTCTTTATTTTTAAGCAACGTATGTTGTCAAGACAGGAAGAACTTAAAGAACGAGCAAGAGTTCTGCTTGAGCAAGCAAGAAGAGATGCAGCATTAAAGGCAGGGAATAAGCAACTAAGCAATACGCTCATCCCAGCCCGCAATAAGCAGCTGAACGATGTAAGAAATACTGGCCAGTCTTGCAGTTTACAGAGTTAAAATTCATTGTTTGTGCTTTTTTTTGGGGGGGGGAGGGTGAGGCATGTCCTTGCAGAATATTTCTTCTCCGCGTTGAATTGCTCCGATGTGTTGTGTGTCTTTCACTTTTAAAGCCTGTTTCTCCCCATGTTATGGCCAACAGAAAGGCGCCTCTGACTTCCCTGAAAGCAGAAGTCTGGGAGCACCTTCTTTGATTGGCACTGCAGTTCTTAATGGGATGAAAACCCAAAGTTACTTGTTAAATGATAGTGAAGTAATTTGTGCTATTTATGATTAATTCTCTTTTTTTTCGGTTAATGTAAATGGTTTCCCTGAGCCTCTGATTGTCAACCCCTTGCTGCTTTATGAGTGTTGTTTCAGTGAATGAAGCTGCTTGTGTCAGTCTTGTAAAAGAGTTAGTTGATGGAACAATTCCTTTTTATCACCAAAGTTGATTATGCTGGTGAGATGGGAAAGTGGAGCTGGGGAATGAGCTCCAGTGTTGAAGCAGCTATGGTTGCATCTCCAGTGGCCTCCGTGGTGACCTGGAAGGATCCATACTCTCTGGAGATTAAAGCTAATTAATTTTTATGCAAACCTTTGCAATGCTGGTTTTGTGATTCTAACTATTGTGCATTAGAGACTGTACTGGCAACTGAGAATGCAATTGTAACTGAAAAATAATGAGAGAGGGAGACTTGAATCTTTACAGATTCCCATCTTTCAGAGCTGAGTCCTGAGGGGCGAATTCTGGTCTTTACACAAGTGAGATCATGCAGTCAAAAAATGAAAGACAATGATTTACATGTCTCATTTCATTTTCTTAACTCTCTTGGATCCATGCTGGACTATTTTTTAACTTAAAAATTGTTTTCCCCAGTCTGATACTCCATTTTACTTTGAAATATATTTGTATGTGCAGACAAGTATTGTTTGTATAATGATGTTTAAACAATTTTTTGCTTATTTGGTATTTTAAGTTTTTCCTAGAGAAGTATATTTTTGTGTAAGTTTCACTTTGGATTTTTTTTTAAATTAGCTTTTCATAAAGAAAATTACACTAGAAGAGAGCTACTGTAGGCAATAACTCAGGCAGAAACAACTGTAAGTTGCCTAACAATTTTTATTACAAGCTCCTATTTTCATAGGTTTTACAACTTTGATAGTATTTCATTGTTTGAGCTGAAATTTTCACCATCAGCTCCTCTGCCTCAGAGTAATATTTTTTAATTTTTTTTTTACTTAAAATGTGTTCAGCTGTTTCTCTCTATTAGGTTGGATAAAGCATTGTTTTATCCGTGTTAAAAATTCATAAAATTTGGGAAGAAGGTTCCATCCCCTTGAAACATCTGTTCAAAACTATCAAAGTTGTGTTAATAGCACAACCTTGTCAGAGAGCCTTGAAGTTCAGAAAAGTTCATGCCAGTAAAAGTTGTCTGTATGAACACAACCCAGAAAGAGCATCTTTTACTGGTGCTCTCCTGAGGATGGAGGCCCATTCTGATGCAAATTGTAGTGTTGGAAAGCAAACTTTCTCTTTCAGAGTCAAACTCCTGTTAATGAAATCCAAACAGGAGTAAAAGAAGCTACCCCACTGGCACACAGAGAAGACATGCCCTGGATAGATTGGAGGAGGTAGATGGCAATGAGAAATTAGACAGAAATGAAGACTCTGCCTAGGCCATGAAAACCGGCTGAAGGGTAGGAGATAGTGACAGGGTTTTCAGCGTGAGAGTCAGGACTGTGTAGGTTCAGGCAGCCAGGTTACCCATGGGTCCTTATTTCGTTTGTTACAGAAGCTGAAAAGTTAAATGGAAGCCTGCAGGAAAAGGAAGGGGCAGTCTTTTAGGGCAGCTTGGCAGAGCCAAGGTTTCTTGCTGCCTCTGTCAGAAGCTCAAGGAGAACTGTGCTGGCACAAATCATAGAATCACAGAATCAGCCAGGTTGGATAGGACCTCTGAGATATCAAATACAACCCTTGATCCAACACTGCCGTGGTTACTAGACCATGGCACTAAGTGCCACATCCAGTCTCATCTTAAAAACCTCCAGGGATGGAGAATCCACCACCTCCCTGGGCAGCCCATTCCAATGCCTGATAACCCCCTCTGTAAAGAATTTCTTCCTAACATCCAACCTAAACCTTCCCTGGCAGAGCTTAAGTCCATACCCTCTTGTCTTACTGAGAACTGCCTGGGAGAAGAGACCAACCCCCACCTGGCTCCAACCTCCTGTCAGGGAGTTGTAGAGGGTGATGAGGTCTCCCCTGAGCCTCCTCTTCTCCAGGCTGAACAACCCCAGCTCCCTCAGCCTCTCCTCATAGGACTTGTGCTCAAGTCCCTTCACCAGCCTTGTTGCTCTTCTCTGGACCTGCTCCCCCTGGGCACTCTAAGCAAACTGTAATGGGCACTCTTGAGTTGATTGTCACGTAAGAATGACAAAAGCTCCTCAGCTCAGACGTGTGTTGTGGACATGTGATTTGGAAACTCTTAGATATGAGTATAGACTGCCAAAGAAATGCTCTGGAATAAATCGATAATTTTGTGTTCAGAGAAAAGTTTCGTAGTGTATTTTAAAAAAATATATAGGGCAGATAGTGAATGATGAGGGTAGAGTGAGCTACTGAACAGCTGTTTATTGCTGAACATTGTCAGTCATGGCTACCGAAAAAGACAAGTATCCTGTAGGGAAAAAAATGTATGAGTTATGCAGTTAAAGACTATGCAGTGAGAACCGATGCAAGGTTGTACAGCTACTGTAATTTCAACATTTTCTAACTTTTGAGTGCTTGACCTACCAAGCTCAACATTCCCCTAATGCATTTTAGTGGGAGACATGAATTGTGAAAGAGGAGTGTCTTTAATGGAGGCTGGTACAGTGTTTATATTTCATATATAAAGCTCTATATAGCATGAATATGTTATACATATGTTATATACATACCCATACATGTGTATTTTCTGAATGAGGATACATGTGTGCATCTACATATATAGGTATAAGATAAAATACATTGATTTCTGTTTTACTTTAACGTATTTGATCTTCACAGAGATGAAGCCTTTCCATTTGATGTAGTTGTGGCAGTTTTCTACAGGTCATTCCTCATTTGATTGTTAACATTTAGTACAGACTTATTTCTATTCATGGCTTTTTGGTCATTAAGGTTAATAATAAGGACTTTGATTCAAAGCAGTGTTGTATGTGTCAGTGTGCTGTACTGTATAGTAGTGTGTTATCCAAATGAGAGTTATGATAATGAGAATCACCATTTAGTAGTGGAAATTGGACTGGGCTCATTTTTGGGATGGATTGAGATACAAAAGGAAATGGTTTAAAACAGGAAGATCTAATTTTAAATAAGAAAACTTTGAAGAGATAGCCCAGAGGCAATACTTTTGAAAGTAACTCTTGAAGTTTGCAATTGCACCTTTTTTGATACCTTCACAAAAAGAACTTTAAGCATCCCAGTCTTTCAGAGTGTGTTTCTGAACGTCGGTCACCCCAGCTAAGCAAAGCCTGCAGTCTCATTAGTAACTTCTTGAAAAATCTCGTCTCACAGGCCTTGCTTCACATTTGTCATGTGAGAGCCGTGAATTGCTGTTTTCTCGGTAACCAAGTGAGAACAGCATAAAATACAACGTGTGGGGTTGTACAGTGTGCACGGTGAGCACGGGCTGTATCGCCACTCAAGCCCAACCAGGGAGGAAATTTCCAAGTATGTTCCAAGGCCATAAATATAAGTTACTTGGTATGTGCTCACCTGATGTGTTTTGGTAAAACTCCATTTTGAAAAAAGTGTTCCTGTTTCCCCTTTAAACTTAGAGCAAACACCTTAGACCTTCTTCTGCCTAAGCCTTACCCTTTCTCTAGTAGAACCAATATTCTCTTCTCTTCTCTTCTCTTCTCTTCTCTTCTCTTCTCTTCTCTTCTCTTCTCTTCTCTTCTCTTCTCTTCTCTTCTCTTCTCTTCTCTTCTCTTCTCTTCTCTTCTCTTCTCTTCTCTTCTCTTCTCTTCTCTTCTCTTCTCTTCTCTTCTCTTCTCTTCTCTTCTCTTCTCTTCTCTTTCTCTTTCTCTTTCTCTTTCTCTTTCTCTTTCTCTTCTCCTTTTTTTTTTCTAATCTTTGTTGTCTCTTCTTTGACCACCAACTAGCCTGTCATAAAGTACTGGCTGTTTTCCTGTGACATGTTCATTCTCTGGCCATTTACCCCTCTTTTCTTAAGTCTTCTTTCTTGCTGTAATGTGCTTCTATCTTTTCACATTTGTGCTCTGTGTCAATGTTATTACTTGTCTTACTTTCCTTTTAACTCAGAAATTAATGAACCTCTGGGAACAAAATATTAAGGCACTGAGTTTGCTGTCATACCTGATAACTCAATCTTTTTTTCCTCTGAGTCGTGTTATACATTGCATCTCAAACTGTATCCTCTTTCCCTTCTTTAGTTTGTATCTTCTTGTTCCTTCCTCTCCCTCACACTGTCTTTCAGCTGTCTGCTCTGGCCATGTCAGCTCTCCTTTTAAATTTTTCTTTCTTAATACCCTCTGTCTTTACTCTTTCTTCCCTTAGACATCTTCCCTATGTGCCTTCTGCCCCATTGTCTTCCATTCTTGTTCAATCCACTTGATTTAGTCCCATCCTTCTCTGCTTGCTTCCTCTATTTGTATTTTTATTAGCCCCAATTCTTCCCTACTTAAAGCATGGGAGACATAACATTTCACTGTTATGTCTGTTTATTTGGTGCTTCTCAGAAGCCTTCGATCTGCAAGCTGTATGCATGCAGACTGGATGTGGAGGTATGTAGGCAGGTATTTGAAGTCCAAGAAGAGACTACATTGATCAGAGCCTCCTTGAAATCACGCGCGTGGCTTGGGAGGATCATAGCTGTGTCATTAAAATTGATGCAGCCCTTTGGAGACTGGAAGAATTAGCTTAAGAGCTCTGTGAACAGAGTTACTGATCCCCTCATGGATCCCTTTCTCTA